TACTTTTGTACAAGTTTAGCACAGCCAGTGTAAACTGGGCCTGAAAAAATTGAGTGTAACTCGTGGTCGTTCCTCTCCACGGAAATCTTTAGTAAAATGCGAAAGATTTATTCGGTCTGAAGAGAAAGTAGTATAAAGTCCAACCATAAGCGCTTGGCAAAAGTGCAGACCCGGCCTTTACGTATGGTAAAACGCCTACATTAAGCTGTAACTTGGAGAATCTGCCATAAATATTAATGAGCCCACTAAATATGTAAAAAAAAAAAGATCAGTTTTTTTGAAGCTTGTATCATATTAACAGCAAGGGAAGAGGAGCACAGCTGCTTGCAGTGCAACATGGGTATTCAAATGAGGCATGCCCACTGCTGACACGCCCCTAAATGCATGCTTGGTCTCTCGGCAGAGCCCTGCAGCTGTCAAGAATGCCAGAGCCTGAGGCACGCTTTGCCCGCAGTCAAAGATGCTGACATCATAAATAGGGAGCCAAAACTTTTGCTTCTTTTCGCAACAGCTTGGTGCTTAGAACCCCTTGGATCTCTGTTTAAGAAGTTTCTTCTACTTTTGTACAAGTTTAGCACAGCCAGTGTAAACTGGGCCTGAAAAAATTGAGTGAAACTCGTGGTCGTTCCTCTCCACGGAAATCTTTAGTAAAAGGCGAAAGATTTATTCGGTCTGGAGAGAAACCAGAGTATAAAATCCAACCATCTGACAGCAGCCAAGGTGCAGACCCGGCCTTTTGCACGTATGGTGAGCAACCCTACATTAAGCTGTAACTTGGAGAATCTGCCATAAATATTAATGAGCCCACTAAATATGTAAAAAAAAAAAAAAATTCAGTTTTTTTTTAAGCTTGTATCATATTAACAGCAAAGGGAAGAGGAGCACAGCTGCTTGCAGTGCAACATGGGTATTCAAATGAGGCATGCCCACTGCTGACACGCCCCTAAATGCATGCTTGGTCTCTCGGCAGAGCCCTGCGGCTGTCAAGAATGCCAGAGCCTGAGGCATGCTTTGCCCGCAGTCAAGATGCACAACATCATAAATAGGGGCAAAACCTTTAGCTAACTTTTAAGCAACAGCGAACCGCTGACCTCTTGGATCTCTGTTTAAGAAGTTTCTTCTACTTTTGTACAAGTTTAGCACAGCCAGTATAAACTGGGCCTGAAAAAATTGAGTGAAACTCGTGGTCGTTCCTCTCCACGAAAATCTTTAGTAAAAGGCGAAAGATTTATTCGGTCTGAAGAGAAACCAGAGTATAAATACCAACCATCTGACAGCAGCAAAGGTGCAGACCCGGCCTTTTGCACGTATGGTGAGCAACCCTACATTAAGCTGTAACTTGGAGAATCTGCCATAAATATTAATGAATACTAAATATGTAAAAAAAAAAAAGTCAGTTTTTGAAGCGTATCATATTAACAGCAAAGGGAAGAGGAGCACAGCTGCTGAAATTGCAAACATAGATATTCAAATGAGCATGCCCACTGCTGACCGCCCCTAAATGCATGCTTGGTCTTCGGCAGAGCCCTGCATATCCGAGAATACTGACCTGAGGCATGCTTGCCGCAGTCAAAGATGCTGACATGCGTAAATAGGGGAGCCAAAACTTTGCTTCTTTTAGCAACAACGGTGCCCACCTCTTGGATCTCTGTTTAAGAAGTTTTCTTCTACTTTTGTACAAGTTTAGCACAGCCAGTGTAAACTGGAGAAAAATTGAGTGAAACTTCGTGGTGCGTTTCTCTACTGAAATCTTTGAAGTATTAAAGGAGAAAGGTTATTAGGTCTGGAAAACCAGAGTATAAAGTCCAACCATCGACAACAGCCAAGGTGCAGACCCGGCCTTTTTACTTGCGTGTGGTGAACGCCCTACATTAAGCTGTAACTTGGAGAATCTGCAATAAATATTAATGAGCCCACTAAATATGTAAAAAAAAGATCAGTTTTTTTGAAGCTTGTATCATATTAACAGCAAAGGGAAGAGGAGCACAGCTGCTTGCAGTGCAACATAGGTATTCAAATGAGGCATGCCCACTGCTGACACGCCCCTAAATGCATGCTTGGTCTCTCGGCAGAGCCCTGCAGCTGTCAAGAATGCCAGAGCCTGAGGCATGCTTTGCCCGCAGTCAAAGATGCTGACATCATAAATAGGGAGCCAAAACTTTTGCTTCTTTTTGCAACAGCTTGGTGCTTAGAACCTCTTGGATCTCTGTTTAAGAAGTTTCTTCTACTTTTGTACAAGTTTAGCACAGCCAGTATAAACTGGGCCTGAAAAAAATTGAGTGAAACTCGTGGTCGTTCCTTTCCACGGAAATCTTTAGTAAAAGGCGAAAGATTTATTCGGTCTGAAGAGAAACCAGAGTATAAAGTCCAACCATCTGACAGCAGCCAAGGTGCAGACCCAGCCTTTTGCACGTATGGTGAGCAACCCTACATTAAGCTGTAACTTGGAGAATCTGCCATAAATATTAATAGGCCCTCAGCCATGTAAAAAAAGATCCAGTTTTTAAACATCATATTAACAAGCGGAAGGAGCACAACCTTGCAGTGCAACATGGGTATTCAAATGAGGCATGCCCACTGCTGTGCGCCCTAAATACGCCAGCGGTCTCGGCGAGCCACCTGCAGCTATCAAGATGCCGACCTGAGGCATGCTTTGCCGCGGTGGAGCTGACGCTAAGTAAATAAAGGGAGCCAAAACATTTGCTTCTTTTCGCAACAGCTTGGTGCTTAGAACCTCTTGGATCTCTGTTTAAGAAGTTTCTTCTACTTTTGTACAAGTTTAGCACAGCCAGTGTAAACTGGGCCTGAAAAATTGAGTGTAACTCATGGTCGTTCCTCTCCACGGAAATCTTTAGTAAAAAGCGAAAGATTTATTCAGTCTGAAGAGAAACCAGAGTATAAAGTCCAACCATCTGACAGCAGCCAAGGTGCAGACCCGGCCTTTTGCACGTATGGTGAGCAACCCTACATTAAGCTGTAACTTGGAGAATCTGCCATAAATATTAATGAGCCTACTAAATATGTAAAAAAAAAAAAGATCAGTTTTTTTGAAGCTTGTATCATATTAACAGCAAAGGGAAGAGGAGCACAGCTGCTTGCAGTGCAACATGGGTATTCAAATGAGGCATGCCCACTGCTGACACGCCCCTAAATGCATGCTTGGTCTCTCGGCAGAGCCCTGCAGCTGTCAAGAATGCCAGAGCCTGAGGCATGCTTTGCTGCAGTCAAAGATGCTGACATCATAAATAGGGAGCCAAAACATTTGCTTCTTTTCGCAACAGCTTGGTGCTTAGAACCTCTTGGATCTCTGTTTAAGAAGTTTCTTCTACTTTTGTACAAGTTTAGCACAGCCAGTGTAAACTGGGCCTGAAAAATTGAGTGTAACTCATGGTCGTTCCTCTCCACGGAAATCTTTAGTAAAAAGCGAAAGATTTATTAGGTCTGAAAGAGAAACCAAATTATAAGTCCAACCGCATGCAATGACAGCAGCCAAGGTGCAGACCCTGACCTTTACCGTATGGTGAGCAACCCTACATTAAGCTGTAACTTGGAGAATCTGCCATAAATATTAATGAGCCCACTAAATATGTAAAAAAAAGATCAGTTTTTTTGAAGCTTGTATCATACTAACAGCAAAGGGAAGAGGAGCACAGCTGCTTGCAGTGCAACATGGGTATTCAAATGAGGCATGCCCACTGCTGACACGCCCCTAAATGCATGCTTGGTCTCTCGGCAGAGCCCTGCAGCTATCAAGAATGCCAGAGCCTGAGGCATGCTTTGCCCGCAGTCAAAGATGCTGACATCGTAAATAGGGAGCCAAAACTTTTGCTTCTTTTCGCAACAGCTTGGTGCTTAGAACCTCTTGGATCTCTGTTTAAGAAGTTTCTTCTACTTTTGTACAAGTTTAGCACAGCCAGTGTAAACTGGCCCAGAAAAAATTGAGTGAAACTCGTGGTCGTTCCTCTCCACGGAAATCTTTAGTAAAAGGCGAAAGATTTATTTGGTCTGAAGAGAAACCAGAGTATAAAGTCCAACCATCTGACAGCAGCCAAGGTGCAGACCTGGCCTTTTGCACGTATGGTGAGCAACCCTACATTAAGCTGTAACTTGGAGAATCTGCCATAAATATTAATGAGCCCACTAAATATGTAAAAAAAAAAAAAAAAAATCAGTTTTTTTGAAGCTTGTATCATATTAACAGCAAAGGGAAGAGGAGCACAGCTGCTTGCAGTGCAACATGGGTATTCAAATGAGGCATGCCCACTGCTGACACGCCCCTAAATGCATGCTTGGTCTCTCGGCAGAGCCCTGCAGCTGTCCAGAATGCCAGAGCCTGAGGCATGCTTTGCCCGCAGTCAAAGATGCTGACATCATAAATAGGGAGCCAAAACTTTTGCTTCTTTTCATAACAACGGCTTTAGAACCTCTTGGATCTCTGTTTAAGTTTCTTTACTGCGTACAAAGTTTACGCACAGCAAGTGTAAACTGAAAAATTATGAGTGAAACTACCGTGAATTACGTTCTTCTCCACGAATCTTTAGTAAAGGCGAAAAGATTTATTAGGTCTGAAACCAAAGTATAAAGTCCAACCATCTGACAGCAGCCAAAGGTGCAGACCCGGCCTTTGCGTATGGTGAGCAACCTACGTAAGCGCCAGCGGAGAATCACGCAAATATTAATGAGCCCACTAAATATGTAAAAAGATCAGTTTTTGAAGCTTGTAATATTAACAGCAAAGGGAAGAGGCACAGCACGGTGCAACATGGGTATTCAAATGAGGCATGCCCACTGCTGACACGCCCTTAAATGCATGCTTGGTCTCTCGGCAGAGCCCTGCAGCTGTCAAGAATGCCAGAGCCTGAGGCATGCTTTGCCCGCAGTCAAAGATGCTGACGTCATAAATAGGGAGCCAAAACTTTTGCTTCTTTTCGCAACAGCTTGGTGCTTAGAACCTCTTGGATCTCTGTTTAAGAAGTTTCTTCTACTTTTGTACAAGTTTAGCACAGCCAGTGTAAGCTGGGCCTGAAAAAATTGAGTGAAACTCGTGGTCGTTCCTCTCCACGGAAATCTTTAGTAAAAGGCGAAAGATTTATTCGGTCTGAAGAGAAACCAGAGTATAAAATCCAACCATCTGACAGCAGCCAAGGTGCAGACCCGGCCTTTTGCACGTATGGTGAGCAACCCTACATTAAGCTGTAACTTGGAGAATCTGCCATAAATATTAATAGAGCCCTAAATATGTAAAAAAAAAGATCGAGATTTCTTGAAACTTGTATTAACATAGGAAGAGGAGCACAGCTGCTTGCAGTGCAACATGGGTATTCAAATGAGGCATGCCCTGCTGACACGCTGCCCTAATGCATGCTTGGTCTCGGCAAACCCTGCAGCTGTCCAGAATGCAGAGCCTGAGGCATGCTTTGCCCGCCAGTCAAAATGCTGTTTATCATAATGAGGCAAAACTTTTTGCTTCTTTTAGCAACAGTGCTTAGAACCTCTTGGATCTCTGTTTAAGTTTCTTCTACTTTTGTACAAGTTTAGCACAGCCAGTGTAAACTGGGCCTGAAAAAATTTAGTGAAACTCGTGGTCGTTCCTCTCCACGGAAATCTTTAGTAAAAGGCGAAAGATTTATTCGGTCTGAAGAAAAACCAGAGTATAAAGTCCAACCATCTGACAGCAGCCAAGGTGCAGACCCGGCCTTTTGCACGTATGGTGAGCAACACTACATTAAGCTGTAACTTGGAGAATCTGCCATAAATATTAATGAGCCCACTAAATATGTAAAAAAAAAAAGATCAGTTTTTTTGAAGCTTGTATCATATTAACAGCAAAGGGAAGAGGAGCACAGCTGCTTGCAGTGCAACATGGGTATTCAAATGAGGCATACCCACTGCTGACACGCCCCTAAATGCATGCTTGGTCTCTCGGCAGAGCCCTGCAGCTGTCAAGAATGCCAGAGCCTGAGGCATGCTTTGCCCGCAGTCAAAGATGCTGACATCATAAATAGGGAGCCAAAACTTTTGCTTCTTTTCGCAACAGCTTGGTGCTTAGAACCTCTTGGATCTCTGTTTAAGAAGTTTCTTCTCCTTTCGTACTAGTTTAGCACAGCCAGTATAAACTGGGCCTGAAATAATTGAGTGAAACTCGTGGTCGTTCCTCTCCACGGAAATCTTTAGTAAAAGGCGAAAGATTTATTCGGTCTGAAGAGAAACCAGAGTATAAAGTCCAACCATCTGACAGAAGCCAAGGTGCAGACCCGGCCTTTTGCACGTATGGTGAGCAACCCTACATTAAGCTGTAACTTGGAGAATCTGCCATAAATATTAATGAGCCCACTAAATATGTAAAAAAAAGATCAGTTTTTTTGAAGCTTGTATCATATTAACAGAAAAGGGAAGAGGAGCACAGCTGCTTGCAGTGCAACATGGGTATTCAAATGAGGCATGCCCACTGCTGACACGCCCCTAAATGCATGCTTGGTCTCTCGGCAGAGCCCTGCAGCTATCAAGAATGCCAGAGCCTGAGGCATGCTTTGCCCGCAGTCAAAGATGCTGACATCGTAAATAGGGAGCCAAACTTTTGCTTCTTTTCGCAACAGCTTGGTGCTTAGAACCTCTTGGATCTCTGTTTAAGAAGTTTCTTCTACTTTTGTACAAGTTTAGCACAGCCAGTGTAAACTGGGCCTGAAAAAATTGAGTGAAATTCGTGGTCGTTCCTCTCCACGGAAATCTTTAATAAAAGGCGAAAGATTTATTCGGTCTGAAGAGAAACTAGAGTATAAAGTCCAACCATCTGACAGCAGCCAAGGTGCAGACCCGGCCTTTTGCACGTATGGTGAGCAACCCTACATTAAGCTGTAACTTGGAGAATCTGCCATAAATATTCATGAGCCCACTAAATATGTAAAAAAAAAAAGATCAGTTTTTTTGAAGCTTGTATCATATTAACAGCAAAGGGAAGAGGAGCACAGCTGCTTGCAGTGCAACATGGGTATTAAAATGAGGCATGCCCACTGCTGACACGCCCCTAAATGCATGCTTGGTCTCTCGGCAGAGCCCTGCAGCTGTCAAGAATGCCAGAGCCTGAGGCATGCTTTGCCCACAGTCAAAGATGCTGACATCATAAATAGGGAGCCAAAACTTTTGCTTCTTTTCGCAACAGCTTGGTGCTTAGAACCTCTTGGATCTCTGTTTAAGAAGTTTCTTCTACTTTTGTACAAGTTTAGCACAGCCAGTGTAAACTGGGCCTGAAAAAATTGAGTGAAACTCGTGGTCGTTTCTCTCCACTGAAATCTTTAGTAAAAGGAGAAAGATTTATTCGGTCTGGAGAGAAACCAGAGTATAAAGTCCAACCATCTGACAGCAGCCAAGGTGCAGACCCGGCCTTTTGCACGTATGGTGAGCAACCCTACATTAAGCTGTAACTTGGAGAATCTGCCATAAATATTAATGGGCCCACTAAATATGTAAAAAAAAAAAGATCAGTTTTTTTGAAGCTTGTATCATATTAACAGCAAAGGGAAGAGGGGCACAGCTGCTTGCAGTGCAACATGGGTATTCAAATGAGGCATGCCCACTGCTGACACGCCCCTAAATGCATGCTTGGTCTCTCGGCAGAGCCCTGCAGCTGTCAAGAATACCAGAGCCTGAGGCATGCTTTGCCCGCAGTCAAAGATGCTGACATCATAAATAGGGAGCCAAAACTTTTGCTTCTTTTCGCAACAGCTTGGTGCTTAGAACCTCTTGGATCTCTGTTTAAGAAGTTTCTTCTACTTTTGTACAAGTTTAGCACAGCCAGTATAAACTGGGCCTGAAAAAAATTGAGTGAAACTCGTGGTCGTTCCTCTCCACGGAAATCTTTAGTAAAAGGCGAAAGATTTATTCGGTCTGAAGAGAAACCAGAGTATAAAGAACAACCATCTGACAGCAGCCAAGGTGCAGACCCGGCCTTTTGCACGTATGGTGAGCAACCCTACATTAAGCTGTAACTTGGAGAATCTGCCATAAATATTAATGAGCCCACTAAATATGTAAAAAAAAAGATCAGTTTTTTTGAAGCTTGTATCATATTAACAGCAAAGGGAAGAGGAGCACAGCTGCTTGCAGTGCAACATGGGTATTCAAATGAGGCATGCCCACTGCTGACACGCCCCTAAATGCATGCTTGGTCTCTCGGCAGAGCCCTGCGGCTGTCAAGAATGCCAGAGCCTGAGGCATGCTTTGCCCGCAGTCAAAAACGTTTGCTTCTTTTCGCAACAGCTTGGTGCTTAGAACCTCTTGGATCTCTGTTTAAGAAGTTTCTTCTACTTTTGTACAAGTTTAGCGCAGCCAGTGTAAACTGGGCCTGAAAAAATTGAGTGTAACTCGTGGTCGTTCCTCTCCACGGAAATCTTTAGTAAAAGGCGAAAGATTTATTCGGTCTGAAGAGAAACCAGAGTATAAAGTCCAACCATCTGACAGCAACCAAGGTGCAGACCCGGCCTTTTGCACGTATGGTGAGCAACCCTACATTAAGCTGTAACTTGGAGAATCTGCCATAAATATTAATGAGCCCACTAAATATATAAAAAAAAAGATCAGTTTTTTTGAAGCTTGTATCATATTAACAGCAAAGGGAAGAGGAGCACAGCTGCTTGCAGTGCAACATGGGTATTCAAATGAGGCATGCCCACTGCTGACACGCCCCTAAATGCATGCTTGGTCTCTCGGCAGAGCCCTGCAGCTGTTAACAGTGTGAAAGCCTGAGGCATGCTTTGTCCACCCATCAAGCTATCTCAGCAGCCCAAAACAGCAGCAAGGGTTCTCCTTAGAAGTACACCAAACATGCTATGGTTGTGCTATCCACTGATTGTGCTATTGCCTGCCCCATCCACACAAAGTTCTCACTTACGTCAGTCAATCTCTGTTGTGGCAGGAGGGAGCCCTGGCATAGGTTCTGAAACAGCTTTAGCTCCTATGAGCTTGTGAGTCCTCAGTCCCATCCTTTGCGTGCCGCTGTTGATCTATGCTCCTCTACTTTTGCTGAAATTGTGGCAGATTTTCTGTAAGTCCCGCTGCACGTGGCAGCCAAAAAAAAAAAAAAGATGGTGACTTCATTGTAATAATTGTGTGTGTGTGTGTGTAAGTAGGCTGTTTACAGTACTGCAATAGTGGGGATGCTGTTTGTGGGATTGTGTGCATATAGTAAGGCTGCTTGTGTGGTTTTGCGTGTGTGGATGGGGCTGTTTGCACAGCAGTAAATGAGTGGAGAGGGCTGGTTGTGTTGCAGTATGTGTGGGGATAGATGCTGTAGTAGGCATCTGGGGTTTACTGGAACTGTAGTGTGCATGTTGGTATGGATAATAGAGGCTCTACTGTGTAAGTAGGACAGTGGCTGTAGGGAATGATGTGGGTGCAGAGGGCTGTGGTGGGTGCAGGGAGGAAGAGGGACTGTGTTGGGCGCAGGGAGGGAGAGGGGCTGTGGTGGGCACAGGGGTGCACCGAGGCTATGGTGGGGGCACGGAGGCAATGGTGGGGGCACGTAGGGCACGGGGCTGTAGTTAGGCATGGGGGGCATGTGGTGGGGCGGGGCTTTGGTAGGGGCAGGAGGCAGGGAGGGGATAGGCAAGGGGGCTGTGGTGGGGCAGTGAGGGTATAGCCTGTGATCGGTGCAGCATGGGCACAGGGGTTGTGATGGGTGCATTGGGGCAAATGGGCTGTGGAATGTGCAGAGGGCATAGGGCTGTGGTGGATTCCCAGGGGGCATACTGGCTCAGGTATTCACAGGGAGGGATGGGGGCTATAATGCATGCAGGGGTGCATTGGGGCTGTAGTAGGTGAGGTGGATACAGGTAAGGATAGAGGTTGATATGGGTGCAGGAATGCATGGTGCCATGGTGGATGCAATTGGGCAAAGGGGCTGTGGTGGATGTTGGGAGGGTATTGTGGCTGAGGTGGGTAGGGGGAGGGATAGGGCCTGAGGTGGGTGCAGGCAGCATAGAAGCTGTAGTGGGTTAGGAGAGTACAGAGAATGATACCGTATGAGGTTGGTGCAGGATTGCACAGGAGCGGTGGGTGCAAGGGGGCCAAGGTGGGTGCAAAAAAGCTGTGATGGTTGCAGAAAGAAAGAAGGGCTGAGTTGG